CCACTGCGTGCCACTTCGCCTAACCTCCAAGCGCCATGCGTGTCTACGCCCATGCGCGTGTGCGCGCCCTTCTTGAATGCGCCCTTTTTCGCGTGTCCTTGCGCCTCGCATACGAGCTCGCACCCGTCTCTTAGGCCATGCATGCATCGTTTTGGTCCTTTTCCCGGCCTCATAGGGTCGTCTCGGCTCTTGGCCCTTCTTGTCCTCGGGGGTCAAAACCCACTTACGCATCATTCCCGCCCTCTTTGAGAATGTCCTTGTCCTCAAGGACTCATCCTCGACCATCCAAACCTCAGGCACTCTTTCTTCGATCTCTAGACCATTGTGCTCATCGTACTCACGGTCCTCATCAACCTCGACCTCGACTTTGAACACTTCCTCATCCGTGTTGTCCTCCTTATGCGTTGCATCGCGGCTCTCTTCGACCATGACTTCACCCTTGACATCGATACCCTCGTCCTCAATGTGCGTCTCCTCGCCAAGGCCCTCCACGAGCAAGATCTCTTCCTCGATGATCTTGAGTTGTCTTTCATACTCCTCCTTTTGCTCGTACATCTCTTCCAAAAACTCTTGCTCCCAAGGGGTTAATTCCCTCTCCAAACCTTCCAAATATTCAAGATCTTCCCAATCCAACTCAACTAATGGCTCGAACAACATCTCTCCCTTTTTTTTGACTCTTTCGAATAAATTCGAACAAAAACCAAAAAAATATATTTTTTTTTACTCTAGAAAAATAACAAAAGAATAGATGACACTTATTTTTTAAGACTCACGAAAAATTGAAAAATTCGAACAAAATAATTCAAAAATTTCGAACAAAAAAGAACAAAATTCGGCCCCTCAGCAAAAGGCAAAACCAAAAAAAAAAAGAAAAAGATAGGATAGACAAAAATTCGATCAACACCTCTCAATGAAAGCACCAATGATGACAGATCGAATTCTTGTTTATCCTCGGTTGTGAATAAACGCGCACTAGGGCCTTCGTTTATCCATGATAGGTGTATCTAACAGACGAACTATCGGCCTTCTCCTAGACACTGTGACATCAAGACGCTCTAATGGCCTTCTCTCCGACACTGTATGTAAACACGCTCTAACGGCCT